CAGTTTTTACACCTACATATTGGAGGATTCTTGATGAACACTTCCACCTTGTACCTTTTCTTTTACTCCCAACTCATAACTTCATTCAAAACAATCTGCAGAAACTCAAATAACAAAACGATATCTGAGAATTCTCCCAGTAAGATCAACAACAGAGAAACCCTAGATGCAGACGAAGTGTAATTCAATGGACTTATTTCTAAACCCTAGATGCAAATGAAGTGTAATTCAATGGAACTTTTTCTAAAGTGTAATAAGTAAAAAGAATTCGCGTCTACCATAATAATTTATATACATTTTATAAAACTATACAATAATAGAAACCCTAGTTGCAATAATTTATCATATACGTTGTGTGGATCTTTGTACTGAGAAATACTGGGAGAGTCAAAATAGTAGCCAGACTTTCCACGTGTAACGACCCCAAGGATGACAAGTAAGACACGTTGGCTCTGCCTAGGTTCGTAGGTTCCTACAATGGAAACCGAAAATAGAATGTGACATACCCATGTGACTCACCTGACTCCACATAACCAATAATGCGATTCTGATCCCACATCTAAAAGCCATACACTAGTAGGTGCTTTTGTGGATATACTTGACTGGAAAACTGGATTCTTCTTCTAGGCTCACTTATTTTTGGTCACACCGTGCTACCTCAAATCAAATGTATTAGCAGTGACGGAGCTAACATAGGATTACTGGTTTGTCTATAATTTCAATAATTTCATAAATTTATGTATGCGTTGGATTTGATTCTAAAATAACCAAGGCAAACTAAATGATCTTCTTCTCTTATTTTTATTTTTTTACTAGTATATACCCACACACAAAATGTGTGTGAAATATTTTAGTTTTGTTTTTAAAATTGAAGGAGAAAGGAAGAAAGTGAGTGGGGGAGAAGAGGGAGAGAGATTTTTAACTTTTTATTTATTTATATTTTTTTAAAATAGAAATGTTAAAATCATGTGTAAGTGAGGCTTAAATAAAAAATAGCAAGATTTTGTTTGTGAAATTATGTTACTGCCCTTAACTTTTTGTTATGATAGAAGACAAAATAGTTTTTTCATCTTCTTTTGATTGAGAAAGAGGGTTCTATTAATATGTAGTTTAGATAATTTGTGTCTTCCTTTCCTCTCTTCTTGTGTACGACTCTATTGTCTGTATCAAGTGCTTGATAAAATGCCTCAGTTGACAAGCATTGACAATCTTCAACGTTACTATACAGTTTCATGTAATCACCCTTGACAAGCATCTACATATCATAGTAGTTGTTGACATATGTTGGCATAAGTCTTCAACATATGTTGGCAAGAATCAACATGTTCCTACAAATGCTCTATGAAATGGTTGAATGAAATTGTTTTGATCAAAATCATGACTCCATTATTTGAAAAGTCTGTCGTGGCCATTTTATGTTACCAATACCTAAGCCCTAATTTTAATACCTATCAATTATATATGAGTCTATTTGACAACATACATGTTAAATTACTTTATGTCTTAGTGTTTCTTGTGTCCATAGAAATGTCCTCTCGCAAATTGAACACAACCAAAGGGACTCCTATAAAGTATGTAGAAAGATAATGCCCAGGATTCAAAAACCAACAAAATGAACTTACATATCCCTTATTGTTATTGTATACCCCTTTTGGTCATCTCCTTCGTACCCTTTTTTATTTTATTTCTCTTATCTAAACTACATATTAATAGAACCATGATTGTCAGTCAAAAATCAATAAAATTATTATTATACCCTTTTATACATAATTGAAAGAAAATATTAGAAAAAAGTGTGAGCAATAAAGTAATTTCAAACAAATAAATTTTTACTTTTTTTCTTCTAAACATCACAACCAAGTCACGCTATTAGTACCCTAAACCGTCTCTCTTTTCCCCTCTGTCATTTGCACCCCACGTCTAACTTTTTTTCTTTCCACTTTTTCAACCTTCCCCAATTCACTAATTTTTTTAAACATAATTTGACATTAATTAAACTTAATTCTTTTAAAAATTTTAAATCAAACACACAGTGTGTACTGCAACTATTTACATATTATAGTTTTTATAAATAACTAAGTGATACGCAAGTGGCCTTCTAACAAAGTGATGAAAAGATGTTGAGTCATTGCATGACAGCATGAGTTCGAACCCAGTCTGTGACTAATCTAACATCTAATCTAATAAAATTTATCATTTGACCAAAAAAAAAAACTGAAAAGCTAAGTGATACAACAATGAGAAGTTATTTCCACACACCTATTTAATCCTTCTACACATTTATCCTTTTGTTTATACAATCAATATATAAAAAATAAGCAACAATGCACAAAGTAAACTAATAAGTGAGCTAAAATTATTTTCCTGCAACAAATTACATGAAAGTTTTTGGTCAGTGAAAAAGATGGTAATAATAAGAAAGAAGAGAACAGAAAGGCTGACAGAACTTTGCAAAAACTAAAAGATTCGAAAGGCTCAATTGTTGTGCAGCATGTGGTGTGGTGGGAAGCTCAGCAAAGCCTCGGGTTTATCATTGTCATCTTTTGCTGCAAAACCAGGTCACACTAGTACATTGTTGTAGACTTCTTGTGTCCAAGTCCTCCACAACGATCCCAAACAAAATGTGGCCTCTTGGTAATCCCCACACCCCTTAAAACCCAAGATCCTTCTGTCGTTGAAGATCTTGACCACCCTAAATTTTTAGGGTAACTACTAACTAGTACCGTTGTGGTAGTACACTAGCTAATAGCCAGCCTCAGTCACTACTTTAGGAGAACCTTAAGAGAGAAGATGCTTCTTCGATATCAAATCACGAGTCTTTTCCATTCTTATACACCTTCTGAAATTATATGCATACGGGTTCCTTATAGAAATGATAGTGGTACGAAAAGAGATGAGAATAATCCACAAATGATATATCACAATCATGGACGGAGCCAATGAAGGCTCGTTGGGGGCAGATGTCCCCACTCAAGTAATTCGTTTGTTTAGTTGCATACTACAATTATATAATACATATGAGTTATTTTTGAAGAAAATATATGTATCTAATATCTAACATACATTCATTCTACTTATACTCCATATCAAATATTATATGAGCAATAGTGCTCTTGTTCTATCATTTAAACCGAAAAAAAAACTCTTTCCCGTCTATCATGTACTTATATTTTTCTCATCACTTGCCACTTTCCACCACTATATTGAAATTTTTGTAACATTGGAATTGTGATACATCGTCATTTGAAACCATCATTAATATCATATTGCGTATAACCATACTATAACAAGGTTTCCTTAGTTGTTTTCGGTTGCCCCCACTAGAAGAAATTAATTGACGACGGATTTTCATACGGGAGAAAATTTGAGCTTACATGCAAATTTACGTTGAGTGGTTTACTAATAAAGAAAAAGCATAAAAGGAGTTGTAAATTCAAGTATTCGAATCCTAAATTTGACATATTATGACTTATGCGCGTAAATGCTATGAACTACTAAAGCCATTGCCCGTTAATGACTATGAGTCTTTTAAGCTGAGTGGATCCCAAATACATCAATGGATGGATGCTGTATCCAAAAATAATATAAAAGAGGAGTTTACAGGCTTAGCGTAGTGAAGTGGGAGCCTATGGAACCCCGTCCGATGGAGAAATGAGCTATTCTCTGCCTCTGCATCGGCCTATGCTAAGATACCGCAGGGACTCACAGGAGACGTAGATGAAGTGTCACAAGTCGTAATGATATAATATATGTGTCTGGTCAAGCCATTGCCAAAAACGAAAACAGCTATTGGCTATCACAATTCTTGAAAATGAGAAACTTACCAAATTTAGATCCCACCATTTCCAGTAAACTTTTCTGCTTCCCAACCAAAGAGTAATTTTTTATTTTATTCGAAACACGAACACTACTTGTTATTATATAAATATATAAAAACAAAATATATATATATATATATATATATTTTTTATTCATGTATGTTATGATGCGTAATATAGCAACTCGTGTTCTGAATATATTGAGAAATCTCTCCCAACAAATACACTTCGTAGGTTGCTTTTTATGTTCAACAAGGATACCATTTTGACCAATCACAAAAGCTAACCAAAAAAAGAGAAAAGAAATGGGCTCTCAAGAATTGAGGAGGAGCTCCTCCTACAAATTTGTGGCCTATTCACATAATTTTGTGCTTATAATTAGAACAGTTCAAATTATAAATCACTTTGTGTATATCATTTCTACAAAAAAAATCAAACCTAAGATCATTTAGTCATCAAAGTGTATAAAAACAGATAGACGGATTCGGAAAGCATTACGTACGAACTGTCTATTTATTTGCTTCAGTTGATTGACTAAACAATCTTAGTTTTAATTGACTTTTTACATAAATGATCTACATAAAGTGCTTTATAATATGAATGGTTCCGATAATAAACACATATTTTTATGAATAGGGCACAAAGTACATGGAAAAGAAACTACTCCTCAATCTTAAGGAGCCAAGATTTTCTAAAAAAATGCATGTGTACAATATATTTTGGGTATTTTTTTAGCATACTAGAAAAACTCAGTATAATTCCTATATTAATAAAAAAAAAGGTCGTACCCAGTGCACAAGGCTCCCGCTTTACGCAGGGTCTGGGAGAGGTGAATGTCGGCTAGCCTTACCCCCATTTATGGAGAGGCTGCTCCCAAGTCTCGAACCCGAGACCTACCGCTCATGGACGAAGGCACTTGCCATCGCACCAAGTGCGACCTCTTATAATTCCTATATTAATAATATAAAAAAATTGTGCTTAGTATGAACGTGAAAGTAGAATCATAAGACTTAATTAAATCGAAGTAGAATCATAAGATTATTGCTAATTTTGCTGTCACGTTTTCTTCTTCTGCTTTTGCTTGAATAAATGAAAGTAGAATCATGAGACTTAATTAAATCAAAGGTAAATGCAAATGAAAATTACTACGGCCAACATAATTGAGAATCAACCATACCATACTAATCAAGATGGTAGCTATAGTAGCTTAAATAATTGAACGAAAACAAATATTATAGTATGTACTCGCAAAGCTCCATTACCTTCTTAGATACAAAATTGGTGGAGATGATGAGAGCCTAAACCCTTCAATGTGGTTCACTCTCTCTACATCCACCTAAAGTCAGTAATGGAAATGCCCCATGCAAGGTCAATACAGACAATATCCATGCCAGAAAATTACACAAATTGATCTAAATATTAACCGTGGCCCGACCAACCTTAGTATTAGTACCTAATATAACATATTTCATATGATACCAATAACCTTAACCCTACGATTTATTTATTTTTTCCCAAATGTCTCATTCTAAGAAAGAGGAGCTCTCTGAGGAGCACCCTTTCTCCTGCTGCTAAGGGAGAGGACAATCCCAGGGAGGAATCCACTGCTTTTCTTCTTCTTCTTCTTGATAACCTCTGTTTCTTGCGACATTACCGAATCACTGGTTGCTTCATTGGAGCATGACGAAGCTCTGTATTGCTGAGGGTCTTCTACGGTGGAGCTAGGCATCATGTGGCCATCATCCTCGGTCATCTCCAAGCCGTCCATGCGTAATCCTTCGAACTGAGAGATGGTGAAGTCGGACGCATCAAATCGGTAGAGTATACCAGATAAATCTTGCCCTTGGTACACCAGATGATCAACCTGTAACATATATATTTGTTACATGATATACCGCTAGATTAAGAGAGATATATATCTGCCTGTAACGTAACCCTAAAATTGAGAAAACCCTTGATGCCTTTAATACTTGGATCAAAGAAAAAAAATAATATCAAGATCATAGTTCAGGTGGAGACAAAAAGAGGTAGTAAACTAAATAAAAAGTGTATGTGCAAATGGGATTTTTCTTTTTTTCTTACTTATCTTGAAGCCACACATAAAGCCGTAGAGATGCTTCCAAGATATATAGCAAATTAATTCAACGTTGGCAAAGGCTTTAGAACCAGTGTGTGCCAGAAAATATGCAAAAGCCATCGAATAGGCAATTGGACAATGAATGAGAGAGAGAGAGAGAGAGAGAGAGGAATATGGAGGTGAAATGGACCTTGCAAGAGAGAGAACAAAAGTGGAATGGCTCTTGGAGAATCCTGTCGCAAGTGAGGCAGATGTTGGCAGAGCCCTGCTTGCAAGTCCTAGACTGTGTCTGTGGCCTCTGATTCAAGAATATCACTTTGGCACCGTTAATTGTATAGGGCTGCCAAATAAGGAACAAACTTGTTATAACGGAATTGGAAAAAGATAAAAGTAATTTTCTTTTACACTCGATCACCTTTTCTTTTTTACTCATTTGTTTTTTTGTTTGATCATATTCCAGTGCGTTTGGTATGTATGGAAATTAATGTTATGAAAAAGGTGGAAAAACCGAACCCTTGAGGAATGAAGATATTTTTTTTCCGTTCATTTTTTCTAAGCCGTTGTCAAATTGTTTTCCCCAAACTTTATCCCATAAAGAAACAAAAATATTAATGTCTCTATCTTTTATATTTACTTTCTCAACTTTACCAAACTTTGTGTGAGAAAAAGTACTTCTGATCTCCTAGGAAAACACATGGAAATTACTTTTTATGAATTCCTCTTCGCATACCAAACGCAAGGTTGGAAACTTATATTAAACCACAAAATTAATAACCAGAATAATTTGATGTCGAGCTTGTTATCTAAGTGAATTGGACTTTAAAAACCTTCTAGTTACAAGTGAAGAATATATTATCTTCTACCCCATTCTTGTTTTTACTTTGTAGTCATACCTGGGTATAGGAACAGTCAATCAGCTTTTCAAGATCACCCAATCGAACCACATCATGGTACACATATCGTCTAACCTGTCACATGGAGCCAAAACAATGTCAATTGGACTTGTTTACTGCCACAAATGGTGATTTACCCTTCAGTTAAATTTACCCTTATGACAACAAAGAAGATGAACAATGTTGAGGTAAATTTTCTGCAATATGTGACTGAAAGTGATCAAGTAAATTTGCATAATCCAAGTACAATTTTTAACTTCAAAAAGTTCAAGAGCCAATTATTTACCTCACCAGGCAGGCAATTACCTGTTGGAAATTTAGGTGAAACGAATAGCAAGGCAACCGATCATGAAGGAAAAATAAATGAACTGAGAGCTGAATTGAATTAAAAGAAGTGGGATCTTTTGAGAATATAAACACTATATGGTCAAAGTTTCGCTTTCATTGAAAGGAACAGCTGAGGAACCTTTGCAGGGTGGAAATGAATAGAAACAAAATCTTCCATTGGTAGGAAACAAACCACATAAAAAAAGTGGGAATCAAAGAAGACATCATAAAACCTTTTTGGAATTCCATTTTAAAATTTTATAAAAACAAAAACACATTCTATTGCAATTGCATGGACAGATGACTAAAATTAGAAGAGTGCTATTGAACAAGACAATTTTGAAGGATTAAAAAAAATCAACAACAATTAACTTCATCATTATTTTCTTTCTTAATTTGTTTCTTTGGCCACAATCAAGAGAGTAAAAGTTTCACTTTGTTGAAAAAATTTAGTAAAAGTGAGAGAAGATGTAAAATTGCATGAAATTAATTATACTAAATTCTAGAGTATAAGATACCTCGGAGCATACTAGAAAATCTGAAAGTGCAGAGTACAACATTTCAGCAAGAGGTTTTGAGTTTTCAAATACAACCAAAAAATACTTTCAATTTTAGAGATTAAGAAATGAGATGATAGACCTAAACATGAAGATCAAGGGTAAAATTTGCAATCACTGAGCTCTCTCTATGGTAGAATTTGTTAATTGTTCGAAGAATCAAATGAAGTATATAGAGAGGTACAAAATTTCAGGCAAATTACATATGTATAGCTAGTGCACTAGCTGAATTCACTGGAAAGCAAATAAAAAGGGAATTAAGTAACAGACAGAGGATTCTACAGTACAATTCCACGATAATTTTCAACACACGCCCCAGGAATCAAGGGTGGTTACAAATTTACAATTCATTAAAAAAAGTTAAACTTTCCAGCTAGCTAGCTAGAAGTAAAAGCCAACTGGAAGTAATTGAGCAACTTTGATCCAAAACTTGTGAAAATTCAAAAGGGTAGATGGATGGTGAAATTTGGTGACGTAATTTGATGAGTGAGAAATTGTAGTATCGGAGTACCTGCAGGAGAGGATGGAGGCGGTGAGAAGAGAGGCAGTGGGGGCAAATACTAAGGCAGCAGTGCAAACAGAAGACGTTCTTCTCGTTTTTCCGGCGGCTGTGGTGGACCCCGCACCCGCCAAAGAATGTCTCGGCCATTAAACGCTCAAGCCATGCAGGCTTAATGTTGTTTCCACCACCACCGCCACCATACGATTCTGTCACCATCCTTTAACTCTGTCTCTCTCTCGCTTTGTTTCTCTCCAACGAATTATGTCTGTTTTTAAAGAAGTGGGAGGATAGTATGAAAGAGAAGAAGGCCCTTTAAGTTTAGCTGCTACTGTAGCAACAGGTAGCTAGCCAATTACTATTGTGCGCCTTTGGTTTTAGTTTTCTTTTTTTTTTTACCAAGTTGGGTTTCAAAAACCCTAACCTAAATGCTATTTTATAGCTGGTGGAAGTTCCAGAACTGTTGCGTTTTTAGACAAGAGAGAGCGTGTCTTTACTTGAGAGAGAGAGAGAGAGAGAGAGAGAAATGGATTGGGTGCATGGTGAGGTGTGAGAAAAATGCCTTATATAAAACATGTTCACCGTTGTTTGACGTTAGTCTAATAATACAATATCATGTAATCGTTTTCTTTACAAAAATTTAAGTCATTAAAATCTAAATAGCGGTGAAGTGAGATTGCATGTGTTGTGGTGTAGGATGGGGGAGTGGAGTTAATGGCGGGAGGACAGCCCACCAGTATGTATGTACTTTCTCTGCACTGCAACGAGTGCAACAATACTATAACACAATTCCTTTTTCCATCTGAGCGCCTCCCAAATTTCTGTTTAATTTACTGTGCATTTTTCTGCATTGAACCCTTTTGCTTAATCTGTTCTGGCTATAATATGCCCGGGTAATTTTGTTAATTCAAGATTTATGTTTATCATTCAGGTCAAAGTGTTAGGTCAAGCTTCTTCAGTAACTTCATTTTCAACAATATAATCAAATCGTATATTGCATAGTGTATAGAGATTGATGAACTTGAAACTGATTTGGTTATCTTTTTAAGTAAAAGTTCAACGATCAAGCAGAACTCAATTCTGTGCCAATTCAGTCCTGTGGAACCCCATACGGTGGGGACCAACTTAGTATCCGATGTGTAAACAATCCGACACAAATAAAAACGAAATCGTTCTCTACTTTTTTGGTAAACAATTTTCTTAGTAACATTAACATTTTTACAAATAAATTGCAACAAAAGTTTGGGTCAAAACCTTGCATCGGTTTTCCTGCAGAATTGCATTGTATGTACTATATATGTCTGCAATAGTAATAATGAGTATGAAAGAAACACTTACCTGCTGGGACAACTCTATAGGACGTGTTGTCTCATATCCTATAAAATTGTACCATAAATTGAGATTTGGCTGTAGAATGATCAAATTGTATTTCCTCCGTAATAGGCTAAACCTTCAAACCAAACAGGTTTCACAGATAAGGAGGGTGTAGGCTCAAGCAGGGTTGTGAATGCATCAATTCAAAGCCATTTTTACCCCAAAACAAATTTCAAATCTTAATCACCCTGTTGTAATTAACAGCTAAACATGATTAGCTAGGAGCACCCAGATTGTACAATATCTAAGGCAGCAAGAAGAAAATAGTACATTTTTTTGGCTTACTAATTAGAATAAGAAATAATAATATGATAAGACCATTGGTTGTTTTGTCTGTTTTAGCTGTAGGTACAATCGCACTACCTCGGTTAAAAAGCTTTGTCATATGAGTCATGACCTACAGGTCCTTTGCTTGTATTTATGCTTCCTTGGTGTGTCCTTTTTTATTTTCATTTTTGTTTATATATTAATACGTATATACGTTGTTTACAAGTTTAAAAGGATATGTATACTTGGTCTGTGGATTATATGATTTTAAAAATTCATCGAATTACTCAAAAACTATTTTGTTATGTATTGAATGACTCAAAAACACCTAATTATGGTCGTGTTTGTCCTCTCATTTTGGGAGGTGTGTCCCATTTGGATCCTACTCATATGCTCGAAATTGAGCCCAGCAGTGAATCAGGTGAGGGTTTGATTATAGTGTAAAACTTACCTGAAACCATTTTTAACTATCACGTGATGAGAGATATAGATTGATATATAAAACTTGTTATGGGTAGCGATATGTGAAACTTACTCAATGCCTTTTGGTGGAGTCTTATTTTGCAATTGCTGTCCAATTGGTATTACATGGTGCCAGTGACAATATATATTACTGCGTGACTGGAAATGTAATATTTGACATATATATTGTGAAATGAATTTTGTTGTTGATGAGTTGACCAACCTAATCCTCTCTCATCTTTTGGGTCCAGTCAATTTTGAGCAAGCTCCATCTTCCTATAAGCGATTACTATTATATAATATTTTTGATATCTCTCCCGACCTCATGACATTATTTTGTAATTTCTCTTTTGTCAGGCTATTAGTCCCTTTGTTTAACAAAAAAAAAGGTCGAACATATATGTTTAATTAATTGAAAGATAAGCATTACAAACATTGAAGGACTAGAAGTAGAAAAATGGATTAAAAATTATGGTTATAGTTAAGGGTTTTAATGTGTTTAGAATAGTGATTAGTAGTTTTATATCAAACAACAAACCAAAGGGACTGGAATGCATGCATTCTGCAAATTCACCAGCTGCATCAAGCAATTGTTGGGTGAAAAATTAGGCAGAGGTTCACGTGGAAATAAAGCGGACAACTAGCTTTCCAAAATATTCCCTAAAATAGTTAAATTGAGATTTAACACAATAACGTTTAACAATAACACCAGTTAGGTATTGTTAATTTTTTAATAAACTAGGTTCATTCTCCTTCCAATAATAATGTTTAATGGTCTATTAGGGGATGCCATGGTAGCTTAGGATTCCTATTTATGTCGTGTTAAATCTTAACTTAATGTTAGAGGTTAAAATATTGGAGATATATGATGTATTCGCATTCTTCAAAGGATTTGTTCGACTTAAGTACATATTAAACGTTAAAAAACGATATGATCAATTTTAATGCTCTTTGCTTACACTTAGTTTGACATGTGTATTTTTCTACTTAATTATTACTCGACACTTGACCGGTATTTCCTTCAAAGTTCGCCAATTGGGTTGAGGTAAAATTATAGTTTAATATTTTAGAAAGGAACTTCGTATGAGATTTTAAAAAGAATAGTAATTTTAATGCTCTCAATTTAAATACTGACACTTCTTGTTACAACAGATGATGATTTTCGCATTTTTGTTGTTCTGTCCTTGAGACTGAAGGAATGAAGAGATAATTAATGGACACAAACAAGAGAAAGAATATAAAATTAGAAATTTGGAGCGTGGAAATTACGATTTGAGTTTAGGGTCCATTGGTATTTAGCCTTGTTATATTAGAGAACCATAAATAATTGTGTTGTGCTTAATTGCCTAAAACATGCGGTCCAAACACATTGATAGACCTTTTCTCACTTGTAGCTGGATTTTTTTTTTTTTTGGTTCAACGGAGGGGGTGAAGACACCTAGACCAAATTAAATTATATAAGGAGTAATTAGAATCCCTTACATTTTTTCTAATTTGTTTAGACTAAATATTTGTTCCTTTATAAAATTTGATTAAGACACTTTGAACAATTGTCAACTCTGTTGTGCCTATATTTAATAGAGAGGTGCAGCAAAGGGAAGTGTTGATGCACAAAACCAGAGGGTCTGGGAACAACGTAAATCCAACCGTGAATCTGCAAGAAAGTAAATAACACAAGATGTATTGTGGTTCACCCCAAGGTTTGGGCTACGTCCACACTAATATTGTATTTCTCTGATGGTATGTATGGATTACAAGGGTGAGGGGGAGTCCCCCAGAGAAAGAGAGAGTTTGAGAGGGCTCTCTGTTTGTGAGCATGAGAGCTTGAGAGAGATGAGCTTTGTGAGGGTGAGAGGGTTTGAGGTTTGTAAGGGTGAGGAGGCCCTTTTATAGAATAAGAGCTCCTCCCCTTTTTACATTTTTGCCCCTCCATTTATTCCCCCGAGTATTTATACGAGGTCTAAATACGGAGGCCCTAAGTATGGTATAAACAGTAGTCCCCCAAGTCTTCAGTCAAGAGAATCTTTTGGCTGGAGACTTAAGATTCAGTCCATGTGTGTGCCGAAGTAACTAGATGTCATCTAGAACTGATACTCGATATGAGGCGGTGCTCAATCTGAAATGATGCTCAACTAGAAGTAGCACATGTTGCGAGACTGCTCTGCTTGTGGCTTATGTTGCCTTGGTTGGCTCGGCTTGTGGCGTTGAAGGTGAGGGAGTCCCTTTTATAGAATAAGGGCTCGCTCCTCAATACATAAGTGATGTGTTATGAGTGATGCTCGCGGCGAGGCGGTTGCTCAGCTAGCGGCGATGCTCTTTAATGAAGGTGATGGAGTTCCTTTTATAAAATAAGGGCTCGCTCCTCAATACATAAATGATGGGCTACAGTTGATACTCACGGCGAGGCGGTTGCTCAGCAGGCGGCAATGCTCTCTAATGATGGTAAGGGAGTCCCTTTTATAGAATAAGGGCTCGCTCCTCAATACATAAATGATGGGTGCTCTTTAATGAAAGTGGGGGAGTCCCTTTTATAGAATAAGGGCTCGCTCCTCAATACATAAGTGATGGGCTAAGTCCCCCAAATATTTTTCATGAGGCCTAATTAAGGCTCAATATATGGTACATAGTGTAGTCCCCCAAGTCTTCGGTCAATAGAATGTGTTGGCTGGAGACTTCAAATTGAATTCATGTATTGGCCGAAGTGGCGGTTGTTTGGAGGCGTTATTTGTATACCCTGCACTAAAGCTTTGTAGGTGAAGCTTTGCAAGTGAAGCTTTGAAGCTGGAGCTCTGTAAATGAAGCTTTTGAAGCTAGAGCTTTTGTAAATGAAGCTTTTGAAGCTAGAGCTCTGTAAATGAAGCTTTTGAAGCTTTTGAAGCTAGAGCTTTTGTAAATGAAGCTTTTGAAGCTGGAGCTCTGTAAATGAAGCTTTTGAAGCTAAAGCTCTGTAAATGAAGCTTTTGAAGCTGATTGACATGAGTGATGCTCATGAAAGTTTTTGTTGATTGACATGAGTGATGCTCATGGATGTTGACATGAGTGATGCTCATGAATGTTTATGTATGATTGATATGAGTAATGCTCATGAATGTTTATGTATGATTGACATGAGTAATGCTTATATATAATTTGAAATACTGGACAAACTTTTGATCACCTGGTTGGTGATAATAGCGGCAAGCTGCCGAATAATTTTATAGTACTGGAAATACTTTTGATCACCTGGTTGGTGATAATAGCGGCAGGCTACCGAATAGTTTAGAGTACTGGGCGTACTTTTGATCACCTGGTTGGCGATAATAGCGGCGGGGTGCCGAATAAATTTTAGTAGTAGTGGGCGTACTTTTGGTCACCTGGTTGGTGATAATAG